CTAGCAAGTGTGGGGGATGCCTTCAAAATAGTGAGATTCTACTTTTTTAAGCGTGGCGAAAGTTTCATATGGTCGAGAGGCGCTCATACAAACCGCAAACAGCCAAGAGGAAGAGGCAAAAGCTAAAAATACAACGCCCACGCATAAACTGGTCGTTTACGACCTTAAGGGCGCATGGACCAAAAATAATCGCGACGTTGCGTTTGCGCTCTTTGATTCTTTCATGAAATCACAGAAGCTAAAGAACAATTTGTCGACGGAAGCTGTAAAAAGCTATCGCAAAGAGACCAATTCCAATGTTATGAAAAACAAACGCAGCGATAGTACAATAACTCTCACAAATAACCAAACCGAAGTACTACCAAGTGAGTACATTCAAAATTTTATGTATTCTGATAGTTGATTTGCAAGCAACTAATTACATCGATGTTTTTCAGTCACAAGTACCAACAGTGCAATGAAGAAGGTGCAACCGGCCAGCCATGCTACAGCGATGTTGCAGCAATTAATAGCTGAAGCTGATCACAAATTCAATGTTTATAGCGATGATCAAAGTACACAGTCGCGGGAATTGCAGCTACAGGGTTTGCAGGCCTGCTCAGCTCAGGATGTGATCCACGAAAATTGGTCAATATCACTGGTCAATTCTCAAGTGCTGCTTAAGGGATGCGAGACGTCTGGCTACGTAATCATTAGTGCCGCCAAAGCGGAGATTTTGCAACGCGTTCACCGCCCAGTCTGGCGCGATAGGTCACTTGTGTCCAAAACGACTTGGAAGGGCCTGCTCGAATGTATGCAGTATTATGCCACAGTTAGCGCTGGAGAAGATGACTCCCTACTTGAAAAGGAGATCATGTGGCTCACTGTGGACAACATTCAGGTATTCTACTCAAAAATATACTTTAAATCAGGGCTCCAAAGTTTACAGTCGTGAACGAGCAACTCGCCACGTAAAAATGCATATTTCGGATTATAACAGTCGTGAACGTACTGCTCGTCTTGTAATTCGGTATACGAGACGACCAGCACGTTCACGACTGTTATAATCCGAAATATGAATTTTTACGTGACGAGTTGCTTGTTGTTGTTGTTGTTGTAGCGGCTACTAAGCCCCGCTCGGATCGGTTCAGTCAATGTTGGCGTCCGTTTCAGCTAAGGGGAGGCCCAGGAAGTGCGCGACTCCGAAAAGGTCTGTCCATAAGGACAGGGGCGTCAGCTGGGTGGGGTTCTCAGGACATGTGAAGAGGTGCCGAGAGTCATGTGGCATCTCTCAACATGCCGGGCATTGGTTGGGCACATCCTCATTAATTCTGCTCAGGTATGAGTTTAGCCTGCTGTAATAGCCAGAGCGAAGTTGGGCTATTGTAGTGCGGGGCTCCCGAGGCAGACAAAGTTGTGTCCCGTTCACGTCAGGTGGTTGTGTGTCTGGACGGCATTCACAGGGCGGGAGTCTACTTAACTTGAGACCGATTCCCTGTGAATGCCGCTCAGGGCCTGTCGATAAGCTGACGGGTTCTGAGGTTGTTTAATGAACCTCTGGACATCGTCCGTCAGTTCGTAGAGATGCCTCCTGACGTGCCTTGGCGAGGGCTCTTCTGCAAGCAGCTGTTTTTTAGGATGACCAGGTCTGTGGCTCCCCACAAGAAACTGCTGGCAGAGCATTGTGATATGCTCCTTGACCGATAGCATCTGGGCCTCGTCGTGTAGGTCGTTTTGGGGCGTCATCGGGAGGCATCCGGTCGCTGTCCGAAGTGCCGTATTCTGGCAGGTCTGTAGCTTTATCCACTGCGTCCTGCTAGTCACACGTGACCACACGGTCGCTGCATAGTTTAGAGCCGGCCAGCCAATCGCCATGTATGTTGCCAGCAACGTTTCTTTGTCTTTGCCCCAAGTTCTGCCGGCCAACGACTTGAGTACATTGTTGCGGCTCTGTGCGGAGAGCAGACTGTCGAAGGTAACTCCGAGGATTTTGGGGTTATTCACCGTCGATATTGTCGTGAATACTCTGTTGCAGTCTGACCTCCTTCGTCCAGGTGGTGAATAGGGTTGCCAAGGATTTCGCAGAGGATAGGGGAAGGCTCCTTGCAGTGAAGAAGCGAGATAACCGTTTACTTTCGACCACAAATCATCAATTCCATTCCCAGACGCATAATCAAGCAATAGTCAGCATAGGAGACAACATTGACTCCCTCTGGTGGTTGAGGGAGCCTTGAAATATAATAATTAAACAATAGGGGGTGTAGTACACCACCCTATGGTACCACCTGTTTAATTTTTCTTGGTTTGCTGGTTTTGTCCCTAAATATTACTGACGAGTGTCGACCACTCAGATAATTCGCCGACCACCGTTTGAGTCCCTGTGGGAGTGAGGAGGTCTCTATGTCTTCTAGAAGCGTTGAATGACTGACAGGGTCGAACAGTTGGACAGGTCCAATGCTACTAAAATATTTCTCTCACAGGGGCGGTTTCGGATGAGGCCGCGAGTCATCTGGGTGTTTATGGCGTAACTGCTGCTGTTACTTCGCTGGGGTCAGGTGGTTCGTGAAATACGGGAGTAGCGAGGCCTCTAGTGTCTTGGCTAACAGGGAAAGATGGGTTATCGGACGATAAGACTCTCGTTTGTTGGCTGGTTTCCCCGGTTTGAGCAGTGGGACCACTCTCCCCATCTTCCAGATGTCCAAATTGAGGACCTCCGTTATGTACGCTACTCCCGCAGGATCCAATTTTTTCAGCATCAACATGCATATTCCGCCGGGTCCAATGGCTTTGGAGGCTTTTGCTTTCCCGATGGCTAACCTTACCTCACCGCTGGTTAAAACATGAGGCGCACTAGGTTTTGGCAGTTTGTGCAGCCTTCTGGTCACTCGACGTTTGGCTTTAAATGCTGTAGGATGCCGAATGAACTGGCGGCTAAAATAGCTCACGCATTGCTCTGGATTCGACGAAGTGTGGTCATCAAAGTATATTTCAACTCTGCCGTCACGTTTCGCCGGGTGGGACAATGACCTCATGCTTGACCAAAGCTTACTCACACCAGAGCGAAGTTGTAGGTCTTCAGATGCTCTTCCCATTTCTTCCGCTTATGTACGTTCCCAAGTTGCCGAATCTCCGAGTTGAGATCCCTGATACGGCGATTTCCGGGATCGGCCTGACTAAGGCTGTCGCGCTCATCGGCTAGAACGGCCGCTTCAGTAGGAAAGTTCGGAAGTGGATCCATGATACATCCTGCTGGGATGAAGCGAGCTGCACCAGCAGTGACAACCCTGCGGAACTTACGTTCACCTACGTGAACGTCGGTTGGTGGTCGGCAGTGCAGTGAAGTCGTTTTCAGAAACATTCGCGAAGCCTTTCCAGTCAGATTTGGAAAAGTTGATATAGGTCCGGTGATCCGCGGAAGCAAAATCGGCAGATTTATCAATCGAGATGACTATGGGCAGATAGTCTGATGCTAGGGTCAGCATAGGTCGCCATGATACGCTGTTTATCAGACAGGCGCTGACAATTGTTAAATCTGGCGAGCTGCTGCAGCTGCCCATAATCTAAGTGGGTGCGTCGTTGTTCATTGTGCAGAATGTCGAATCGTCTATATGCTCTGCCAGATATATTCCCCTACGATCATTGGACAGGCCTGAGTGCCAAAGATCGTGGTGCGCGTTAAAGTTGCCATCTACCATACGGTTTTCACTTCTGAGTAGCGCAGCTATTTCAGGGTGATATCCAGCCGGGAAGCTGGTGGCAGGTGGTATATATACGTTAAATATTTAGAGCTCAACATCGCCTGACCGGATAACAATACCCTGACATTCTAGGTCACTCGTCCAATCCCGCGTGCTGCGAAGTCCTGAGCATGCCTTAAAGTGGCACCAGCCAAGACAGGAGTTGCACTTAACTGATGTTACGGTATATTCCGGACTGACAAACCGAGCAGATCGTCCGAGGGACTAGGAGTTGCCGGCGGCGGTGTGTGGCTGCTGTGGTGTTTGTTTGTGTGTCTATTGTTGTGTTGTGTTGGGGGGTGTGGGTGTGTTGGTTCTGTGCTGCGAGGGCGGGGGGCGGTTTGCCGTGGAGGCGGTCCGATTCGCACAGCATGGGGCCACGAACGTTGTGGTCCATTGCCGGTGCGACGTAGGCCCGAGCAGGTACGGAGATGACTCCACCCGTCACAGGCATTGCACCTGACCGAGGTGGAGTTTGTATGCAGTCGTCTCTGGTATACACAGCAGGTGTAGATTTCTAGCCCTAGGTTGGACTCTATGCCAGCCCTGAGCAGAAGGGTACGGAGCAGATGTAGCCCTAGTATCGAGCAACGTTTGATGTATTTCGCCGGTCTAAATGGGGTTAGATCGCCGAAACAACCCGACTCATTCCGGTACGTAGAACCGGCTGTCGTGGGAATATGACGAGTTGCTCGTTCACGCCTGTTACGATTAGAATTTGAAAAACTGTCAGCACAGTAGCAATAATACTATTTTTTTTGCTTTTGATTCGCTCTGAAATTTCTGATTCTTTTCCAAACTGCTTTGCTTTTGTATTTCGTTTTTTTATCAACAGTTTATTGACAATTATTTATTGCTTTCGATTTGCTGTGATAGTGCTTTTGCTGTGATCTGCTTGGCTGTGCTGTGCACATGAAGCTTTGTAGCATGGTGTATTATCTATTTGCATTATCATTTCCACGACAGCCAGTTCTACCTACCGGAATGATTCGGATTTTACCCAATTTAGCGTTGTTCGTCCACAGGGCAACATCTCATCCGTATTATTCATCTGCTCAGGGCTGACATGGAGTCAAACCCAGAGCCAGAAATCTACACCTGCTGCGTATGCCAGAGACGATTGCATCCAAACTCCACCTCGGTCAGGTGCAACAACACCTGCAACGTGTCAGGTGCAACATAACACAACCATAGGAACACCCACTGGCACTACCGCACTCCTAAAATCTGCTCGGTGTGTCGGTCCAGAATATACCGCAATGTGACATCAGTCAACTGCACTTCTTGCCTTGGCTTGTGCCACTTTAGGGCATGTTCAGGACTGAGTACCACGCGAGCTTGTACGAGTAACCATGTTGTGTGACCATGTTGTGCTGCTCAGTCGCAAACTTCCCCCGCGACACCGCTCACTACCACCACAGGGCAGCACCCCCTTCAGCATCACAAATAGTACGTGGCCGGCAGGCAACACAACTCCCTCACACCCCGCATTGCAATCAGCCTCCCATGGCACACAAAGATCCTACAATTTAACTGCGGCGGACTTCAAAGCTAGATCGAGGAGTTGCACAGCAATTCAATACTGTTGAATTGCGCCGGATACAATGTGCACCGCCGAGGTCGCGAGCGAGATAATGGTTGTGGCCCAGTGTTCATCACGCATCACACCGTGCAGTATCGTCTCATCGAAGCAGACATCGGCCGCAGGGATACCATCCTAGAATGTCAGGGTATTGCTACCCGGCCAGGCGATGCCGAGCTCGAGATATTTAATGTTTATATACTCCCAGTCTCTAGCTGCCCGGCAGGATATCACCCTGAAATAGGTGCGCTCCTCAGAGGTGAAAACAGTATGGTAGTCGGTGACTTTAACGTGCACCTTAGGCACTCAAACCTGTCGAATGATCGTAGGGGAATACACTTTTCTGAGCAGATAGACGACTTGACATTGTGCACAATGACCGACGACGCACCCACCAGAATTATGGGCAGCTGCAGTAGCTGGGCTGACATAACAATTGTAAGTACTGTTGTGATAAATATCATAACATGGCGACCTATGCCGCCTCTAGCATAAGACCATCTGTCCATAGTCATCAGGATTGATAAACTGGCGACCTTGCTTCTGCGGTACACCGAGCATTAATCAACATTTCCAAAGCTG